TGCACAAATCATGGATTATCTACATTGTTACCTGTCACTGCACAAATCATGGATTATCTACAGTGTTACCTGTCACTGCACATAATCATTTTTAGACGGTTTGATGAAACTGGTCATGAACTTGAGTTTACTCTGCAAACATTCTGCCATGGAAGGAAATGTGCAATATGCATTTCTTTAAGAAATGCCAGACCTCACCCACCTGACCACTTGACCCCAGTGTCTGTCAGTTCTGGAAGGTCCCAGGGATCTTCCTCAGCAGGCGTCTGGTTCACCAGGTCCAAGGTGGAGTAAGCTGGAGGGATGACCTCGTCTTTGCCCTGAGCTTTGTCATCTAATGACGGACACAGGAGAGAATGACTTCTTACAGTTATCTACGACACGAGTTGGTGAAGTTTTAAATGTTTCCATACTTATAGTGGGTGTGGACCGAGTCCCCTCCTCTGGTCTTGGAGCCATGACTGTCTGAGAAACAAAAAACCAGCAAGGCTTTGTTGAAACCTAACGTTAAGTTTCCGTTTGATGCACACTGACAAAAAACACGCACTGAACTCAAAGTATTTGGTTCCTGATGCTCAGCTCGGATGTTTAAAAAGCGCGCAGACAAAAGCTAACAGCGTTTTGTCTGTGGAGGAAGGTGCGCACCTGCAGCCGAGCGCGCGCAGCTGGAGTCTCACCTGTCGCGGCTCCCGCTGCTTTTATAGTGCAGCTGCGGGGCGCGCGCCCGCCGCACGCATTTTAAAGTTCGTGCACCTCCGGGCAGAGTCCACGGAGAATTACCTGAGTAACAATCCTCCTGTTAGCTGATAACAGTCTCAATAGCTGAGGGATAATCCAAGTCACCAAACTCCTTTTCTGATCAGAACCAGAAAAGATATTTGTTTCTCAGTCTCTGATAGAGGACATTTGCAAACCGAGGTGTACCGTAAACCCACCCACACAGACCAGTATCTGCAGTTTGACTCCCATCACCCTTTGTAGCACAAGTTAGGAGTCATCAGGACTCTGTACCACAGAGCAGACAACGTCCCCACTAGCTCAGGAGCCAGGCAGAAGGAGAAATCCCACACAAGACAGGCTCTAGAGCAATGTGGATATCCTAACTGGGCCTTCCTAAAAGCAGAGAAGAAACCCAAACTGGACTCCAGTCAGCCATCAGGTGAAAAGGAGGAACCCAGACCCAGACCAGTGGTCATTCCATATGTTGAGGGAGTATCAGAGAAACTGAGACATTTATTTTCTAAACATAACGTCCCAGTGGCTTTTAAACCCCAAAATACATTAAAGACTGGTTCATCCCAAAGATCCAGTCCCCCGGCACAAACAGAGTAATGTTGTGTATGTTGTTCAGTGTCAGGAGGGTGATCAGTCTTATATCGGGGAAACAAAACAGCCACTGGCCAAAAGGATGGCCCAGCACAGAAGATCAACATCATCAGGCCAGGACTCTGCGGTCTACACTCATCTCCAGGCCAG